TTCTGAGTGCACCAGACATGAATGGCACTCCTCATAGAGAGTGTGAAGCAGACAGCACTCTGTGATCTATATAATTTGTAAAATAAAGACTTGCAGGTTAAAGAAACAGCATAGAAGGAGGTTGCTGTGGGCCTTGGTGCAGATGAGTTTTTTTTTAGAAGTATTTGTATATAGAGAGAAAGATAAAAACAGAAATGTAACTAGAATAGACAGAGATAAATTGAGCTGCCGAAGAGTTGCGTGCTGCAGACGCAGCTGGTGTGAAAGGCAAATGCCTGCGTGCTGCTTCTGCTCTCCTTACGCGCTGCGCACGCTCTGCTCACGCACTGCTTTCGCTTGCGGTGTGAAACAGGCGTAATAGATAATGGTTGAATTTAACTGACTCAACAAATCATGTGTACTGAACTGTGATTTTTAGTTAATCACAAATTATCCTAATTTAACAACGCATGTGCTGCGATGTGACTGTTGTGGTTGTAACTATTGCGAATACGAACATTGCGATATAGATGCTGAAACTGTATATTGTGCAGCCTTAATCTAAACGTATATTTGGTTTCCCATTATCGTGAATTTGTGATGAATTTTGTTCAATGCAACAATCCATCACTCATTTCCAGCCCTGCTGCTTGTACATTTACTACCAGTTAGCTTACATAAGAGTTGTGTAAATAAAATACAACCCAACATGTCATGGGGGGATATAGGGGGGGCATGTCCCCTCCCATCCGAGGGTTGTCCCCCCATGCAAACATGCAAACTCCACACAGAAAAATATATGTATATAAAGATAAAATAATTGTCTAAGTAGAAAGAAAACTGAATTCATTATTTAAAATGCATTTAGAAACAGTTGAGTTCCCCCTCCCCTTCCTCAGAGTAGTTCGATCCACTGCTCATCTCACCTACTCATACAAACAAACACTCACACACACAATTTCAGTAAGTAAGTAGGGGATTTTATTCACCTTAAATAAAGCGATTTTTCTCAATGTAGTTAATACAGACTGGTTCATAAAACAGTTGCGACAAAAATGCTGATTACCGATGTAATTCTCCATGAATCTGGTGTATTAGCGATTAAAATTACTTATTTAGTTAACAATAGCTTGTTGCTAACGCTAAAGCCGTTTCCCATGCATTGTTTCATTTGTGACGACTTGGCATAATGTTAACTTAACATTAATGACCACAATTATCATATTGTTAGGCTGTGTATTTGCTAAATGAGCACTGTGCTACGTCCAAACTAGACCCACTGTATATTTGTATAATCAGTTTCTATTCTATTTTAAGTGACTCAATTAATTTGAAATTAAAATGTTAACCCTTTTTTAATTCTTTGTTTTTATTGTTGTGATTATTTTATGATAGTTTTGCATTCTTTATGTAAAGCACTTTGAATTGCCATTGTGTATAAAATGTGCTACAGTATAAACAAACTTGCCTGGCAGTGTCATGTATTGGATAAAATGACAGAGAAAATAGACATAAGATTATTTTTCAGTGCAGCTAAACGCCAAGTACAAAAAGATTACATATTAAGCAATTTTCCTGCATTTATTCTGCTTCAGGGGTCAGTCTGTTGACTGTAAACAACACAACAAACAATGCAATAAATAGTTTGAAGAAAAATTTGCTTTGCCATTGAACCTGAGAAAACATTGAGAATAATCATAATGATGTACACACACATCTACATATACATGCTATAATAATAATAATTATGATAAAACCATTTTTAACAGCGGGGACATATCTTTAATAGTACAATTCCGCTGTATTATTTGTGTCCCCTTCAAAAAATGCTTATAAAAGAAATTTTAAAAGAAATTTTATATTTATTGTCCCCCCTTACTGTTAAATCAGATTTACGCTCATGTAAACATGTGACCTTTTCTGAAAGAGTCTTATTGACAGCAGACCAGCAGGACTACAGGACTGTATGTGATAGTGGCTGTTAGTGCCAATTACTGGCTTGTTGTCTCTGTATGCCAAACTTGGCGTCACTTTATTTTGATGGTCCCTTTTGCACATTTTATTGACTACAAGTTACATTGAAAATATATGCCAACAAGTATTAGTAGACTTTAAGGTTTGGGTCAGATGTAGTTTCAATGTTTCTTGTAGTTAGTTGGTTGAGCAGATATTAAGCAGACAGTCTACTTATACTCTAATCAGAGTTAGTTACCACATATTTTGTACATCATTATCAGTGTAGTTATGGTTATGGTCCATATTTACAATGTTTAAATTGTAGCAAATGTAACAAAATCAGGTCAAACTTTGACATCAAATCTGGACCTTCTCCTGGGCACCTTTTCAATCAGAAATGTTGCTTCTGAAGATCACAGTAGAAGCTAGATGGTAGGATATCTTACTGGGTTTCAGATCTGAACATTATTTAGCCTGTAACAAGTATGCAATTTATCCTATGTCTCATTTAGGGCATTACATTACATACATCTAATTAAACCTACATACAAGTGCTGCACAATATATCATTTCAGCATTGATATTGCAATGTGTGCATCCGCAATAGTCATAATCGCAAAGAAAAGCAAAGTCCAGTCTGAACAATAACAGACCAGGGGCCTCATGTATCAACGCTGCGTACGCACAAAAACTTTGCTTTTTCGTTGGGTTTTGCCATTAGCATAGTCATTAGCATATTCATACGGGGGAGGAGGCAGGGAGGGGTTTTGTGCTCGTGCATGTTGCGCTCAGTTTCACGTTCATTCGGATGTACAAAATAATATGCGTGAGATTCGGCGTACGTAGTGTTTCAAACATCTGAATTTTTTTCTGCGTACGCACATTTACAGCTTTGTGCGTACGCAATGTTTTAGTAAGATTTCCACGCAAGTCTTCGTACATGAGGCCCCAGGAGCTAGGGCTGCGTGATTAATCGAAATTGAATCTCAATCGCAATTTGAAACGTTGTGATTAGCTAATCACAAGAGGCTGCGATATCAAAAATATATGTATTATATAATTTCTTACTAGACAACTGAGTGAGCACACTTTTGTTTTGCCCAATCAGAACTGCGCAACTGAACTATGCGGGACACCCACAATAAAACAAACAAACAGGAAGGCGCAGACAAGTGAGATGATGGCGTCTGCCACTTCAGAAGCATTAATAGATTAATTAATATCAATGTAAAATAGCCTGTCGGAAACATAGGAATATTTTGGTTTCAAAGTCACAGAGACAGAATAAAAACAGGTCATTTGTAAGAGCTCTCGCAGAATTGTTGCCACAGCACAAAGAAATACAACAACCTTAAAAAGCGTCTTGCTAAAAAGTCAACTAAAAGTATTACTATAGTGACAAGCAATCTAGTAGCTAGCAGTACAATTTCAGAGTTGTTTGCAGCTGATACACCATATGAAAAAAACATCACAAAGGCACCAGGAGATAACTAACTCCATACCACAGATACAGAATATTGACCAGAAGCCTGACTGCAAAATTAAGATATTTTAGATATCTTAGATAGCAATTAGATATTTTCCCCAAATTGCACAGCCCTACCGGGAGCTACAAAATTATATTTTATCACTGTATCTGTATTTATATGAAGTTTGCATGATTTATTTAATATTTTTGTCTTGTTTCTAGTCCAAATATCCACATTTCATAGCAAAAACAAGTTAATATCACTTACCCCGTGCACTAGCAGATAATTTCCTTAAAACAAGCAAAAAACTCTTATTTCTAACTGATTTCTTCTGACAGTAAAAACTAAACAATACTTTTACTTGGCCTAAGAATGTTTTTAATATCGAGACAAAACAAAGTAAAAAAAAAAATTTGATCATTCAATTTCTGTACTGTTCGATTCCTCAGAAAATCATCAAATAGTGCTATTAAAACCACCTTCTGAAACTGTATTCATTTCACAATATTTATCACAGAAAAATAAAACATCACAATATCAGATTTTTCCAATATCGTGCTACTATATACACACTCAACTGACTAAAATACTCAGGTCAGGATACAGCACCCCACTCTCCATGTGGAGTAAAAAAGTGGACAGGTCCTTCTGCGCTTCGGTGTCCCATAATCTGCCATAGCAACAAGTCACAGCATGGCGCTGGCGTTGTTGTGTAATTGAAGCGCAGGCCACACAGTGTTGCACAGTGACCCCTCTAATCGCCGCCTGACAAAGTGGCTTACCATCTACAGGTCATATGGCACACAGACACAGCTTAGAGTGGGGCACCCCACAGACTGGGGCCAACACGGCACAAGAAAACCACACAGAGTCACCAGATCAGAACTTTATATTCAGGTTTCTGCAGGTTTCTTCAAGTTTAATTTAAGACTTTAAAAGACCCTTTCAAGACCAATATGAGTGAAATTGTAGATTTATACAGGGCTAAACACTAAGGATTTTTTCGAATGGCCCGGTTACTTCTGTAAATTGTTTTTGTGTTAATGGAAGATCATGAAAAGGGATGTGGCACACAAGTGGAAACACTCAGGCACACGAGTTAACGCAAAACACATCCCAGGACATAATGCAATAAAATCTGCCTCGTGCTATTATCATATTTAAGACATTTCACAACTGTAATAAAAAGTAAGATAAACAATCAGAAGTAATGCGTGTTTTACTGCAATCCAGATCAAACACAGGATTAGAGAAAACTCATTTAAATTAAGACTTTAACCCATTAACCCATGCTAACTAGCAACCAGGTTAGCTGAACACTCATCTTTTGTAAGGACTACCGAACAGGTCACAATATAATCTGATACGACTGATACATAAACAAAAGCACCACTTCTGGTCTGACCACTTCCTGAAGAACAGCCATTGCCTCCACATGTGTTATCAGTTGAAACACATTTGTGCATATTACACAAAAAACAGAATTCTTAGCATACAGATGGACTGTGAGTAAAGGAAAGCATGTGAGTGTGATGTGTGAGTGACATATGGAGATGAAGATGGACCAATGACCCAATTGAAAAACTCAGCCCTCACCTTTTCGCTGTAAAAAGAGGCGGAGCAGGGGCGTTGCCATGGAGATTGCTTTATGATAGTTGTCATCGTTGTTGATTGGCAGCAGGTCTCCGTGAACATCGGCGTAACCCACAAGCAGGTCCACATTAGGGATCCGGTGCACGTGCTGTAGTAAGCCATAGAATTCATCAAATCGTCCCGGCTTGGACCGGTCCAAAGAGAACCGTCTGAATTCTGCTCCAAACTAACAACATGAAACAGACATCATTAAACAGAGATGGCACAGGTAAACAACATTATGACTGTGTATAACTACTGTAGAAACAGTAGAAGTCCTTTGAAGTCATATGACAACAGACATAGGTCATAGGACTGTTTTGTTACAGTTAAAAATAAAAATGAAAAATAAAACATGTTCATTCATTGTAAAAAAGCTGAAATATAAATGTATATTATATAGTTTTTTATGCAGTATTAAAGTTCAATGCACCAGTACATGCTTTGTAACAGTATTAAAAAAACAAATGTTTTAGGATCTTGATGTTATAGCCAGCTGATATTACAAACCCATAGCTATTTTGTTTAGAAAAGAAAGTTAATGCCAACAAATACATGAAGACAGCAATTAACACCAAAATAAGCTCTTAAAGATAAAGCAATTTAAAGCGAAACTCTTTCAAAATAATTTTTTTTTCCACATCTAATTACACCGACCAATGCCAAACTGCAAAGTAATACACATGCTCTTCTTTTATGTAAATTTAAATAATAGAATGTTTGTGACACTCAAGTCTAGGGTTGCACGATACTCTGAAAATCTAACGTTGCAATATTTTTTACTCTACAATATATATTGCGATACGGGGCGAGGCAGTGGCGCAGTAGGTAGTGCTGTCGCCTCACAGCAGGAAGGTTGCTGGGTCGAACCTCGGCTCAGTTGGCATTTCTTTGTGGAGTTTGCATGTTCTCCCTGCCTTCGCGTGGGTTTCCTACGGGTGCTCCGGTTTCCCCCACAGTCCACAGACATGTGGTACAGGTGAATTGGGTAGGCTAAATTGTCCGTTGTGTATGAGTGTGTGTGTGAATGTGTGTGTGTGTGGATGTTTCCCAGAGATGGGTTGCGGCTAGAAGGGCATCCACTGCGTAAAAACTTGCTGGATAAGTTGGCGGTTCATTCCGCTGTGGCGACCCCGGATTAATAAAGGGACTAAGCCGACAAGAAAATGAAAGAATATTGCGATGTAAAAGCTATTTTACTACATGACTTAAACAACAATTTGGAAAGAATTGATCATTTTAGATTGATTGGGAAGATTCTGTAGGGCTGGGCGATTTGGACTAAAATCAAAATCTCGATTAATTGAACATTTTAACTCGATTACGATTAATGAACAATTATTATTTTTTATTTATTACATTTTTTGCCATCATAGTTCACTGACAAGTTTTGTACAGTAAATATGCACACATATTCCAGTGAGAGATTTATGAATAAAGGGTGCATTACTTGATTTTAGAATAATTAAAGGAAACACACACTATCTACTTTCTATAAATATTTATTGAACATTAACGTTGAACAAACAAAATTTTATTTGTGCCATGCACATCACCGCTATCAAACTGACCAATCACAAAGCCTGCGCTATGTGTCATCGTGATGTGTAATTAGATTTTTTTTAAAGTGCGCGGATTTGTGACCGTGCGAAGACCGTGCCGCACCATATGCGTGCGCTCGATGCAGATAAATAAATCAGTCTTCTTAACCCTTTGATGCACTACATGGTCTAAAGTAACCCGTCTAAGCTTATTTTTTATACATCTATTTTATAGCTTGTGCATTAAAGGGTTAACAGACCAGGGTCATGTGACTCCACACTCGGTATAGAAAGTAATTGAAATAAAATCAGCCTGGAAAAATTTGATCGATTTTAGGTCATGAATGTTGATTTCAATTACGCCACTGCTTCGCTAGGGGATTGCATGCATAAAAAAAGAAACAATCTACAAGCGACAAGATCCAATAAATAAAACAATGCCAACTAAATGAACAGTGTTTAATTGTTTTCCGATGAGTCGCGTTCAAGTGTACAGTGACACTTACTAATTGCTAAATTATAATCCAGACTCAACATTGCGTATGCTTGCGATGTGACTATTGCGAATGATCGCATTCTGATATTGATTCTGAAACGATATATTGTGTAGCCCTACTTTATTGCTGTGTTCTTCTTTATACTTTCCTTTTGATGTTTGTTTGGAGTGGGGAGTACCAACCTGCTTAAGGTTTGTTTGGTTGTTATTTATTATGTTGTTGGGCTCCCCCTCTTGTTTTTTTGCTGATTACCTTGCGTTAATAAATAATTTAGTTGGAGCACATTGGCCGTTGTTTATTTATGTTACGTTGTCTTAGGATCACGAGTCGTATTTAAGGACTGTAACATACTATTCAAATCAAAATGATTGTCTAAAAATCCTTAAAATATTTGTGAATACACAATTTCATGAACACCATTTAAAAATGTTTTACTGTAATTACATAAAGAAATTTTTATTAGTAATATGCATTGCTGGAAATTTAATTTACACAACTTAAAATTAGCTTTTCCCAAAGTTTAGATTTTTTTGAATGCTTAGATTCCAGATTTTTAAATAGTTGTATCTCCGCCAATTATTGTCCAAATAAACCATACATCGATGGAAAGCTTATTTTTTCAGCTTTCAGATGATGTATAAATCCAAGGTCACATATTTGGTGATGTACCACTTTAAGGGGAAGTAAGCAAGCCAAGCACTAGATGTATTATAGAGCAACTAATTATAAAACAGTAGTATCATTGGTAGTAATAAAAATAACTCATATAAATTATTCATAAACAAGGAAACTCATGGGCAAAAAATGAATGGCATACATTAAAAGATTACAGACTACTTTAATCATTTAGCTTGAATACTTTCAGGATGTGTAATAACAAGTTATAAAGTGGTTTGGTAATGAAAAAAAAAATTATGTGAGGGAAGGATTGAGACTTAGCCTTATATCGTCATCACTAGCTAAGCATGGCTTGTCCATTAAAAATTCAACCTGTAAATCTTTGTGCTGGTGCAGTGACTATGACCTGGCTCTTGTTTACAGTGTCATCCATAATGATTAACACACGAAAAACATGAATAAACATGGAGCAAAAAAAAAAACCCTTTACATTCCTAATATTTCTGGTGCCACTGCCAAATAATAAACCCTTCACGAAAATGTAATGAAAATAGATATAATAAAAAAGGCATAACTCATCCTAGACATATTTTGGGTGTCATATATGCTGTTTCAAACACTGTCTGGGCTATATCAGGTTTGAGACAAAATCAATATTTGATTTGAACATCTGACTACAGACAATACAAAGATTATCAGGCTATTATGAATATCTTTTTTTAGATGTTCAGCTGTGTATAATACCTGTATCATTAGTCTCATAGTCTCACAACAGCTGAGATATAATGTGCAAGATACAATGAGTACCTGTTACCTCCTTTCTTACAGCTTGATATTTTGATCTAACTTATTCTGTTGAGCACAGTCAATATTTAATTTCCTCAAACCTGATCTTGTCATGTTGATGTAAAGTTTGCAATAAAAGATGAGCTATCACCTGATTGTTCACTAAAAGACTGTAAGAAAACAGGTTTAGGAGAGGAATGGCTTTTGATGAACAAATACAGAGCCATGACAAACCATTATGACACTTATTACAAAACAAAAAACTAATATTCTAACAAACTACAATACTCATTTTATTTTTAGTTATTCCAGTAGTAACTACATTAAAATGTAGATGCTCGTCTTTTTAAATGTACTTTAAATGTACTAAACTTTCTACTCTATTGTTACTAAAACACATTGTAAGATTGCTCCATTGAGTTCTATGAGGATCTACTGTTCTGATATCAGTTATTCACTTCCAGCTTTAGCCCCTATTCCAGTTTTACTACTTACTATGTATTACCAAATGATGCTTTGTTTTGTCACTTGAACTACAACTACTTAAATAATACAAGCATCTATTCCAGTCTGTCAAGTTTTATTTAAATGGCCACAAGTAAATCTGTAGCAGTAGTGAACAGCAAGAATATTACATAGTGTAAAGATCTGATATCCGAACCACAGTTTCCAAATTATTTCAATATTAAAAACACTAATTTACTACTATAAAAAGCAAGTGATATGTGTGCTATTATGTAATGAATAACTTATATCAGTTTTAAATAAGCTGCTACTCGTCACAGATTAATTACTCATTAGTCATTTTCAAAATCAGTGAATATTAAACAGATTTGTTGGAAACACTTATATAGGTTATTGTACTTACTAACACGAATGAACAAAGAAAAATACATTTATTACAGTATTTATTCATCTTTGCTAACATTAGTTAATAAAAATAGTAGGTTATTATGAATACATGTTCACTTATAGTGTAATAACTTAATGACGTTTTTATTGTAATAATGCATTAGTAAATGTTGAACTGTGATAAATTACATACAAGTATTGTTCATTATTATTAATATAGTTATTAACTAATGAAACCGATTTGGTATAAGATTATAGACATATTTAGATGTAGTCAAACACAAGGGTTTTATAACTTTTATAAAACATACCAAAAATAACTTTTATGAATTACATCTGATCTAAAATAAAGTCCTGACAGCATAAGATAACAGATCACCTGTCAAAACAAACCATTTCTCCACAACAGGGACTTTTACAGTGTCCTCAGTGCACTCAAAGCAACGGTCGACTGAACTCACAAGGTTGGCAAAACTTAGCACAGGTCAGTGTGACTGTTTGTCTTAACACCCAAAGGCTCTGCTAAATCTATTCCTAACACGAAGACTAGCCTGTTCTTTGGCTTAACACTAATTAAAGTAATTGGCCCTTCTGGCTACGCACCTTGCTCTTCACCTCCACGGCGTTCAGAGTTCGGTTGCTCGGCACTCGGTGGTTTTTGTTCATCTTTCGCTAACTGGACCCCGCCGCAGAAACACAGTTGCCCTCCCGCGGGCTGCGCTCATCCGCTTTCAGCTTGGTCCGTCCAAAAACGGCTTTTCTCGGCTTAATCCAGTTAAAGGCGAGTATCTCGCGACAGCTCCGTGTCTTCGCTTATGTTGTGATCGGAATCGAGTAGCAACGGCGACGCCTGTCAACTGAACGTGCTCCGAAACTCTGCCCCAACCCTGCCTCTCTCACATGCACGCGCACCGGCGCACACTCGCTCCGCCACATAGTACAGGACGGCCTCTGTATGTGTGTGTGACGCTCTGTGCACCCAGGAAACAGCGTCAAGAGCCGGGTTATCAAGCGCGCCCCCTCTGGACACAAAAGACTTTCTTCAGGAGTTTTCTTTCTTTTACATGCCAGGGACCCCTATTTATTTGTTTATTTATTAATGTGTATGGAGGACAAAACCGACAAAAACAATAAATAAATAGAAATATATAAACAAGTAAACGAAATCATATATTCCTTCATAATATATATATATATATATATATATATTAAACTGAAAGATTGCCAGCAGGATAACGCACCATGTCATAAAGCACAAATCATCCCATACTGGTTTCTTGAACATGACAATGAGTTCACTATACTCTAATGGCCTCCACAGTCTCTAGATCCCAATCCACTAGAGCACATTTGAGATTTGATGAAACTTTGCATCATGGATGTTCAGGAGACAAATCTGCAGCAACTGAGTGATGCTGTCAATATAAATCAAAATCTCAGAGGAATATTTCCAGTACCTTGTTGAATCTATGCCACGATAGATTAAGGCAGCTGTGAAGGCAAAAGGGGTTCCAACCTGATAGTACGGTCGATGTACCTAATAAAGTGGCAGGTGAGTGTACATCACAAAGAGCGACAACTAGTCAAACCAAACCTAGTTTACAGACTAAGGGGAAGCTGCAGGCCCGGAGACCCAACTGCACGCACAGACCTGCACTTCCAGACCAGACAGTGCCCCCTGCTGTTGGGTTGGGTGAAGCGGCAGGTACGGAGACCCAACTGCACACTCAGACCAGCACTTTCTAGCAAGTAGCAACATCAGAAACGCCAGTAAGGTTATTGATTATTAAAGCGATTCCTGAAAATTATCAAGTTTTATGGCATAAATCAATGTGGTGTAAAATATTACACTAACAAATAATTATTTCAGTGTTTGATTTGATTAAAATTAGTGTCAAAAGAGCATTATTTTATGATATTTGCAGCTTGCTCTTATTTTATCTATTATTGTACCATTGTACAATTTTCTAGCAATGTTTTCTGGCAAAATAAAAGAAAAAATTTAAAGTAAAAAAGTTAAAATAAAATGCAGCCTATAATATAGCGCAATTATTATTTGTAACATATTTTAGTGCTGTATAGGTCTACTGTACATATTTCTGTATTATCTATCTAAGAGTGCTACCTAAGACAATAACAGTAACACAATAACAGTTTATCAATTATTTACAAGTTATGTAATAATTACAAACATGTTTTTTGGAAATCAAAATATCAATTAAATTTGCATAGAATTTACAATATGAGCTCTATTAGGTGAAATCAAAACTAATTTTTTAATTAAAAGTGGGTCTCTGCCAACACTAATACAGTGTATCAAAGACTGAAGATATTCCAGTTTTTTTGCTCTAGAAATGAAAAATCTTCCCAACAAGAATGTAAAGCATTTATTTTATTTGATGTGATTTTCTACGTAAAAAATAATTATTACTCCAATTATTATTTTTCACCATTTTTCCATGCATTGTTTACAACTTGACTTGTAGGACTTATGAAAAAGTACACAAAAATAAAGTTTGTTGTGAGAAAATTACTTAGAGTACTATAATTGTATGTGAAGAAATGTATTGTAGATAATATTTATTCCCTCAACTCAATACGAAACAGTGATAAATCCTTAATGATAAAAAAACAACAACAAATGTCTGAAAATATTGAAGCAACTGAACAATATATATTTACAAATACAATTAAAAAAATACAACAGAATTATTGCATTAAATCAAAAATCTAGTACGTTTAATATTTCATATAATAATCTATTCAATCACAGCCTAATATTTTATAGTAGAAAAATAGTTTAAATTACAATTTAGAAGCAGCTGAAATCAGGTTAGTCGATCTTTTAAACAGCAGGTGGCACTGTGAAGGTCTGGAAGTGCAGGTCTAGCCGTCTGCTAGTATGAGTTTACACACTCAGAACATGCCGCACCTGTAGGGGGCGATGGATCAAATCCACTGTGAGAAATTTACTGTGGAAGAAGAGACTGATAGAAACAACGAACACTAAAGTAGGTACACGCGTTCAGTAATATGTTATTAAAGACGTTTTCTGCTTTAACACTCATGCATTTTAAAGCTGTTGAATCGCCAGATTTCAATAAACACTTTTTATCTCAGTGCTTAACAGGTCTCATGATTGCCACCACCTATATAGTCTGGATCATGGTCTGGATTTAAGGGCTTTGGTTTCTTTTGTTCCTTAAAACTCAGGTCTTTTATCATGGCGACAGTCCAAGACTCTGGTCGTGTTCCCGTTGAGACCTGGATCTCGGTGTGTCCCGGTGGTCTGTGGGAGGTGCGCCGAAAGCGGCTTGGAGAAAGAAGTCGAGGAGACACCACGCCTATGATGGGCTCTCTATGTAAAGTCAAGGTGCGGAGAAAGACTGTCACGGAGGAAAACACACTGCCTACATCTTCTCCAGAGCAAGAATCAACAGCTGTTGTTAACTGTAGCGAGCAAACTACCTCATATCCCCGCTCGCAGGAGTCTGTGCTGCAGGTTCCTCTAGATGAGTGGCTGGTGTTGCGCATGGGCGAGGGCCAGTGTGACATTACTGAGGGCTGCTTGGAGGGCATAAGGGCTGGAGAGATGTGTGAGGTAAGAACACTACTAAAATATGGACGTACTAGAACATTGTTTAACAATGTATTAGATGTTAAAGTCCCCGTGAAATAAAAACTGACTACCAATTGTTATTACATTTCTACATTTATTATAAATAATGTGCCTGTGCAATGAGTAATAATCATTTAAAGACACAATGTTAAATTCAGCTGTTGAATTATTTAAACATGTTAATAAGCAGAGTTCAAGCTGACAAATATTTAGGTAAAGTTGGTTTTATATTCACACATTCAGACTTTCTCCACAAAAATATAATTTCTGAGAAGTATTCTTTGCATAGTGAAATAGTGAAATCATTTTAGCAGACAGCGACTATTATAACACAACATTGTTCACAGTCAATTAAATAGTGCTCATGTTGATTTGAAGTCATATTTACATGTGATTTCGGTTCAAACTACCATAGTAAACAATATAGGGAGCATGTCAAAAGTTGTCACTGAATGAATGTAAAAATATAAAACCAACTTTACCTCAATCTGACAAATCACATTGCCCATGATGCTGTGCCCAACATTCAAACAATTGCAGGGAGCAAAGCACACCGAAAGAATCTTCAGCAATGCCATGTTTTACCACATATTCAGAATACCTAAACTTTTATGTTATGCATATCTGCAACTGATTGGATCTGCAACTGGAACTGGATGGATTGTCACAAGTAGTACACATAGCAACTTTGAATGAATAGTTATATATGTACATACACACACACAATCAAAATTAGAGAACAATTTATAAACAATTGAACCATTTTGAAATAATTTCATCTTCACTGCTCAACAGTTGGAGTTTTTGTCCCATCTTTACCATGCTACCAGAACACATTTTCCACAAAATAGCTAAGGCGTTTCGACAAAAAACATTATTTTGCAGAAAAAACACTGATCAAAATTGGAGAACAACAATGACTGTAGCATGGAAAAAGATTACAACAACCTTATCTGAAGGTTACAATAGTCAGCAATTAGTTTGAAGTGTACAGGCCTCTGCTCTGAATGACTTCAGTACATTTGCGGCCACAGGGCAGCACTAGTCTCTCACACTGCTCTGCTGTGAGTTTGGTCCACTCTTCTTCCTGTCTCCTCCACAGTTCGGTGACTGTAGTGGGTTTCTTGGCTATAAATTTGTCGCCAAGGATTTTCCAAAGGTTCTCTATTTGGTTGAGTTCAGGACTCTGGGCAGGCCATGTCATTATTTCAATGTTTTCAGTTTCAAGGAACTGCTTAACCCATTTTGCTGTGTAACATGGAGCGTTGTACTGCATGAATACTGCAGGCTTATTGGGTGGGAAGGAATCGTATATTGTTAAAGAAAGTTCTGATAAACATTTGCATTCACTCTGCCATGTAGCTGTATGAGGCCGTACTCACACTAGGTACAGTTGCCTCGAACCGGGCCAAAGCACGCTTGTCCCCCCTCCCGTCTCCCCCGAGGGCCCGCGCTCACACCATATCGTGCCTCGGCACGCTTACGTCATCGCTGCTGCGCTGTTCAGAAGCGCTCTCTATGGCAAGCCTTTTTAGCATTTAAATCTTTGTTCTAACTCCATAAATATATTTAGAGATATCTCTAATTATATTTTGACTAGTCATAATTATAATTCCACTACTCAGAATGACAATTAGAGATATCTGCAATTACAATTGTACTAGTACGAAATCAGATTGGAGATATCTGCAAATATATTATGACTAGTCATATTCCTCCATTGAGTTCCATTGAAAAATATTTGCAGATATCTCTAAATGAGTTTTGACTAGTCACAATTGTAAATAGAGATATCTCTAACTGAGTTTTTACTAGTCATAATACATTTGGAGATATCTTTAATTATTCATATTTAGAGATATTTACAAATATACTTGAAGATACCTCTAATTAATTTACTAATAGTCGAATTACAGTTGTAGATATCTTGAATTGGATTTTGACAAGTCAAATTGTGTCACAAATTTTGACTATAGTCAAAACTTATTTAGAGATATCTGCAAATATTTTTTAATGGAAGTCAATGGAGGAATATGACTAGTCAGTC